AAAAAAAAAAAAAAAAAGATGTGATGAGTTTTCCATACCCTTGACAATACTTATCTAGTTGAGTATAGTTAATCTTTTGTTAAATTGATTTCATTTGTATTTCATTGATGATGATAATCACCTTCTCATATACTCATAGCCATTTGCATATTATCTTTGGTGTAATGTCTTTTGCCTGTTTTAAACTTAGCCTATTTGTTGCCTATTTAGTTGTGAAATTTCTTTGTATTGTCTAGATACAGGTTGCTTACCAAATAGATGCATATCCTCTAAGTTTGGGGGAATGGGAGGATGTCTTTTCACTTTTAAAATAGTATTCTTTGAACTACTAAAATTGTTAGTTGGTGAGTATAATTCAGCTATTGTATTTTTTAAACTTTAAAATGTTTTTTGGTGGTACTGGAGTTTGAACTCTGGGCTTTGCACTTGTTAAGCAAGTCTTTCCACTTTAGCCAGGCCTCCTACCCCTTTAACACTAGTTACTTTTTTGTGCTGATACTGGGGCTTGAACTTAGCATGTTTTTTCTTTTCTTTTTTCTTCTGTGTGTGTGTGTGTGTTGGTACTGGGGCTTGAATTCCAGGCTTGACCACTGTCACTTAGCTTCCACTTGACTTTCTTGATTATATCTGATGCTCTACCACTTGAGCCATACCTGCAAGTCATTTTGCTGATTAATTGGAGATGGAATCTTGCAAACTTTTCTGACTAGGGTTGGTCTCAGTCCTCCAGGCCTCAAACTCCTGAGCAGCTAGAATTACAGGTGTGAGTCACTAGCACTTGGCTTTAGTTCTAGGTGTGCATGTATGTGCATGTGTGTGTGTGTGTTTTGCTAGTCCTAAGGGTTAAACTTAGGGGCTAGGCACTCACTGCTCAAGGCTGGTACTCTCCCACTTAAGCCACACCTCCATTTCTGGCTTTTTTGTTTTCGAGTGGTTGGTTAACTGGAGATAAAAAGTCTCACAGACTTTGTTTATTTGCCCAGTCCTGAGGCTTGAACTCAGAGGCTGGGCACTGTCCCTGAGCTTCTTTTTTGTACAAGGATAGCACTCTACTACTTGAGCCCAAAGTGCCACTTCTGGCTTTTTCTTTTCTTTCTTTTTTTTTTAAATGCTGGTACTGAGGAATTGAACCCCAGGCTTCATGCATGCTAGGCAAGCACTCTACCACTAAGCCACATTCCTTAGTCCCTCTCAAAGACTTTTCTACCTGGTGTTGTACCACGATTCTCAGCTCTTAACTGCCTGAGTAGTTAGGATACAGGCATGAGCTAGACACCCAGCTAGGTTATACATTTTCAACTAAAGTACCACCAAAATGATATGGTGTCATCAGTAAACTCTATCAGGAATTTCAGGATATCCTTAACACATTGTTATTTTCACTTCAAGTATTTCTTGAAACAAATAAACATCAGATGTCACACAGTACTTATTACTAGTCAGATTGATTCATGTATTGGCTATTGGTAATTTGTGTTGTTTTAAAATGTATAGGATTTACATCGACATAAATATATAAATGAATTTGACAGATTATCTATGTGATATTTTATTTCATTAGTTCTACTATTCTAATATGGTTGGGATTATTTTATACTGTAAGAACTCCTTGTAAGGGTTGTCAAAAGGAAAAGCCCATGCAGTTCAGGCAGAAGAAAGTATATTAGGAAAGAGAGAGAAAAACCAAACTGTCAGCCTGTGCAAGGTGGAGACATGAGGAGCAAGAGAGCTTATGAAGGGAAGAGACCATATAGGGGAAGGTGGGGGAAGATGGGAGCATGGGTGTGGCCACAACAGATGTGGAGGCACGCTCAGAGGATGGGGAAATGACCTCAGAGCCTAGGAGACCTCCCACTGCCCCAAGCATGCCAGTTGCCTGGGTTACAGATGTTGGGCAAGGACTTAAAACAGGGTACACTGGGAGAAAACCAAGGGAAGGGGTCATTTTTCCTGGGCAGACCTAACACTCCTTATACATTAGTGCTACTAATCCTTTGGCATGAATGTAAATATTTTCCCCAGTTATTCTTTGCTCTTTTATATTCATGGTTTTTTAAAAAAAATCTCCAGGTTTTAACTTTTTACGTAAATATAACTTTTTCTCATATGGACCCACTTTTGGTATCATACTTAGGAAAGCCTTCCTTCTAGGATTATAAATACTGATTTTCTTTTTATCTTTTCCAAATAGGTACGTTTACAGGAGCACATGGGTGAAAAGTATACCACTTACAGTGCAAAAGCTCGTCAGTTGAAATTTTTTGAAGAAAACATGAATTTTTGAGAATTTGTTACAATCTGTTCAAACTAAAGCTATTCTCAAAGGTTTTGTCTTAAAAAGCAAACTATTACAGTTTAGATAACATTCACCATTCTTTTATATCTCTTTGGGATTTTCTTATGGAAAAGAACAAAGTTAATATAAAGCAAGTTCAAAGACAGTAAAAAAAAAAAAGCTTTTGGTTTTCATACTCTTTTTATGAGGAAAAATGTTACATTTGTTTGATTACTGTTTACTGAGCCGAAACCAATTTTATATTTGGAACTTTATTTTTTTAAGGTACTAATTAGCTTGAAAACAGTGCCAGAAAGCATTGGTTTCAGTTATTTTATTATAGTAATAATACAACAGTAGAAACAAGTGACATGGCCAGTGATAATATCTGCTATTGTTAGGAAGTACTGTGTGTGCAATATATACATATATATATATATACACACACATATATATGTTATATATATATATTGCACACACAGAGTAGTTGAGATATATATATGTATATTGTCAATTTACTATTCTGGGAATAGATTTAAAGAATATGAAGTTCTATGTAGTATTTGAGAAACTGGTTTCCTTTTTACATAATGATGAACTGTTAATATTTTACTATGAATCCCATTTAGGTATATGAGAATTGGATCTAAAGTATTAAAATACTTTGTAAATCATGTTTTCATATATTAGTTTTATTAGATTTATATTTCTACCAGCAAGAAGTCTCTTAAACACTCTTTTTTCAATTAAGCAATTTGTGAGTAAAGTCCAGGTCCTTTAGTTATATTGAGCACATGTAATGTTTGTCTGCTGAAATATGTCTTCATGTACATCAAAATAGTTTCCTTTCTATGTATGGCTGTATATCACATCATTTGTTTGATAAGAAATACTGCCTACACAGGAAATAGTTTTTATAAAGTAAAATACAAGACCTAGCCAGTAAATTTTTACTTTGTATTTAAATGACTCTAGAAATACTCCAGATGTTCTTAGTTTCTTATAAAAATACTTTCTTCAAAAATTATACACACACAAAAATACTCTAATGAAATTTTCTTTCAGTCAGTTGTTTTTATTATGTGCTAGGTGCTTTGCCAGGAGCTGATATAGCAGTGAATAAGACAACACTTCCTTGCACAGTCTAGTTTCTGAGACCTTTTACATTGAAGAGCTTATTAGAACTCATTTGTAAAACTATCAAGCTCCAGTGCCCAGTTGGGGGAAAATCTTTGACAAATGGTTGGTCTATGTTTTGGAAATCTGCATCTTTCTGGATAATTTTAATTACATTTTTTAGTAATTATTTTCTTAGACTTATATATCCATGCTGTGTTTTGTTTAAATATTGACTCAGTTTTCAATCTACTCTTTTGCGGCTCTTCATTTTTATCTTAATTTTTTCCCCCCTCTAGTACTGTAGATTGAACTTAGGACCTTATTACACACTTGTTAGGCAGATGATCTACCATCAGAGCCAAAATGACACTCCAGCCCCCATCCCTTTTTTGTTGTTGTTGTTGCATTAATTGTCTCCAAGGGAGGCTCTTTCTATATACCTGGGCTGTGATCCTCCTACTTATGCTTCCCTCTGTCACTGGGGATAACAGAGTACAAGTTATGCCATGCCACTGTGCTTCCTGGCATCACCGAGCCAAGATCTTTTTTCCATAGAGCAGATGTTCTAATTGACAATTAACAGGTAAGCTACTGTTTTTTTGTTTTGTTTTTTGGTCTGGTTGTGGGATCTGAACTCTGGGCCTGGGCGCTGTCCCTCAGCTCTTCAGCTCAAGGCTAGAGCTCTACCACTGGAGCCACAGCGCCACTTTCAGCTTTTTTCTTTTTGCTTATGTGGTGCTGAGGAATAGAACCCAGGGCCTCATGCATGCAAGGCAAGCGCTCTATCACCTTCCCAGCCCAGGCAACTTGATTTTTAACTACATCTGGGAACTTCAGTTTAGTCACATTCATTATCAATGAGTCTTAGTTTGTTAACTTAATTTCTCAATCTTTAAAAGATTCTTTCCTGAGTTTTGCTGTGCTAATGTCTTTGCTTTCTTTCTTTTTTGGTGATGTACAGAGGAATTACAGTTATATAAGTCAGGTAATGAGTACATTGCTTTTTGAACAGTGTCACTTCTTTCCTCATTTTTTCCCAGCTTTTCCCCTCCCAATTCCCTCCACAAGTTGTGTAAGTTCATTTTCAATAATAGTGTCTAGTGAGTATTACTACTGCATTTGTTCACCCTTTGTCTATTTTTGTATTCCTTCTTACCCTCCCCCAGATAAATTTATATACAAGACAAAGGTACAGAAAACAAAACAGGGGGCTGGGAAGGTGGCTCAGTGGTAGAGCGCATGCCTTGCATGCCAGAGGCCCTGGGTTCGATTCCTGAGCACCACATAAGAAAAAAGAAAAAAGCCGGAAGTGGCGCTGTGGCTCAAGTGGTAGAGCGCTAGCCTTGAGCTGAAGAACTGAGGGATAGCGCCCAGGCCCAGAGTTCAGGCCCCATGACCGGACCCAAAAAAAAAAAAAAAGAAAACAAAACAGTAACAAGGGAGGGAAAAAAACCAAAACGCAAAATAAAAACCTCTTATTTCCATTTCTTGGAGTTAATTTTGATAAACATCATTTTATGTGCTCATATGTACAAAGCTATTAAGCCTTTTTGATTCTAAGAATAATATCCTCCTTCAGTCTCACTGTGTGAATGTCTAGAGGCCTGTATAACTTATCATGGTATAAGTAAAAGAATACACTTGGACATGCTACCTTTTCTTAACAAGCTCACAGTCTGGCAGCTCTGCATCCCACTACTGAGAAATATAACATTACTTGTAATCCTCCAACTAGCTAGGTGTGGTGGTGCGTTTCTGTAATTTCAGCACTCGGGAAAGTGAAGCAAAAAATTGTAAGTGCAAGGCCAGCCTGAGCTGCAGAGTGAGACTGTCTCAAAACAATAAAAATAAAATTCCAAGGCAGGCACCAGTGTCTCATGGCTATAATCCTTGGCTGCTCAGGAGACTGAGATCTGGGCAGGAAAGTCTGTGAGATTCTTATCTCCAATTAACCATCAAAAAACCAAAAGAAGTAGAGCTGTGGCTCAAATAGTAGAGTGCTAGCTTTGAGCAGGAAAGTTAAGTGCCTAGGCCCTAAGTTCAAGTACCAGGACTGGCACACAAACACAAAAAAATGCTCCCTTTTGCTCTGGAAAAATTGTTGTGTCACAAGTTTACATTCATACAACTTTTTAAAAAGGTGTTTGCTGTAGTTAAAAATATACCAGGAGGGGCTGGGAAGGTGGCTCAGTGGTAGAGCGCTTGCCTTGCATGCCTGAGGCCCTGGGTTTGATTTCCCAGCACCACATAAGCAAAAAAGAAAAAAGCCGGAAGTGGCGCTGTGGCTCAAGTGGTAGAGCGCTAGCCTTGAGCTGAAGAGCTGAGGGACAGCGCCCAGGCCCAGAGTTCAGGCCCCACAACCGGACCCAAAAAATATTAAAAAAAAAAAATGTACCAGGAACAGGCTGGAGACATGGCTTAAGTAGTACTGCCACACCTATACCAACATACCTCCACATGAAGTTACAGTGACAACAGTAAAAATGGTGCTTACATTTCCAGAATCACAAGCTCTTGTCTTTTACTAAGTCTTACAGACTATTCAAAGAGACCTTTTAGGTATAGACTTGCACTGAATTTTAATTAGAAAAGTCTAAATTAACTTAATGATTCATAATGAATTATAAAACCTAGTTAAATTGCACTAGCAAGCCAAGTATATGCCTACAGTCCCAGCACTGAGGAGCTGAGGAAAGTGAGTCCATGGCCAGCCCAAGTTACATAGTAAGATTCAAAAAACATGAAAAAATTGTGCTGTCATTTATGAGGCATTTATTTATACTGGAAGAAACATTGCATACTTGTTTTTGTTTTCCATTTCATAAGATTATGAGGAGTTGGTCTAAAATATAAGTCAAACACAACTGAGTTATTTCTGTCTTTGAAATATAAAGAAAACTAAATCAATATGCAATTGTGTTTATGAGCATAGGGAGTTTTAAGCTCATTATTTGGTTATGATAGCAATTTAGCTCATCTCAGAGAAAACGAAAAGTGGGTGTTGAGTCATGAAAACCCCAATCAATTATTTTTAGCATGCCTCTTAATTTTTCTATCCCCTGTTTTCTTGTCTTCTGTTCCTGAGTCTTGAACAGGTAACCATTTGAGGGGATGTCGTCGATAGATGGGCCATGGAGGAAGTGTCAGCTAGACCAAAACAGAAAAAGTGCATCTGTTATATCCATTATAAAATCATCATGCATTTAAAAATTTTTGTGTGTGTATGTGTGTGCCAGCTGTGGGGTTTGAACTCAGGGCCTGGGCACTGTCCCTGAGCTTTTGTGCTGAAGGGTAGCACTCTACCACTTGAGCCACAGCTCCACTTCAGGTTTTCAGTTGGTTAATTGGAGGGAAGAGTCTCACAGACTTTACTGCCAAGGCTAGCTATGAACGATGGATCTCAGATTTCAGCCTCCTGAGTAGCTAAGAATTACAGACTTGAGTCACCAGTGCCTGCTTTTTTTTTCATTAAGTGGTACAAAGGAGCTGCCATTTAACAAAGCAGATTATGTATTCAATATCTAGATTAATGTCACCCTTTTAAACATTCTCACCCACTCCCCCCCTCCCTTTTTTTGTCAGTCATGGGCCTGAACTCTGGGCCTGGGCACTGTCCCTCAGCTCTTCAGCTCAAGGCGTGGGCTCTACCACTTGAACCCCAATGCCACTTCCGGCTTTTTCTGCTTATGTAGTACTGAGGAATCGAACCCAGGGCCTCATGCATGCAAGGCAAGCACTTTACTACTGTGCCACCTTCCCAGCCCACTCTTAATTCTGTAGGACATACATTGGATTCTTGTCTGCATTTTCCCCTTCTTTTAATCATATATGTTTTTAAAATTACTTCAATGCTAAAGTCAACAAAACAAGACCCACAGAAGATACGATCATGTAAATGAAACAAGCCTTAGTGTTTACACATAGGGCTTTGAGACCTAAGAGAAGGGCGACAGGCAATGGTTAGCACTATGAGAAATTAATTCATACTAGCTTTGATCTCACTGCTGAAGAAAATAAGCGGTAAGGTTCTTCGCAGCTCACCAAATCTGACACTATTTAACATGCCATTGTCCCAGTGATATTAAAGAGAAACGCTGACAGGAAATTAGAGTTCACTGTGGTTCTCACTGCTAAGTCCAATCAGAGCAACCCAGTTCTGAAAGCTTAACGTTCCTGCTCACCCAAGCACCCACAAATTTCTTACCAAACACGAAAAAGCAAATCCGGCCATAACTATATAGACTGTCCACCCGAACTGTTCGGCCACGTACCCATAGATAAATCCAACTATCTAGAGACAAACAGAATATATGAAAATACAGTCAAACTAGGGAGGAAAAAAAAAGAGAGACTCAAATGTAAAACCAATACTTACTGCAGAAAAAAGAATAATTCCTTGAAACATCTGTTCAGCTAGCTTTTGTCCTTTGTAATCCTAGAAGTGAGAGGGGGGGGGGATGTGAGAGAGATTTGGTTCCGCTCCGAAGGGTTGCAGTTTCGGAACAGGACTCACATGGCAGCAAAAACGCATCTCCCCCGGCCCCTGCCCCAGTAAGCAATCAGATCCCGGGCTCCCATGGGCCTGTCAGCATCCTGACAGCGCGCGGGCGGGCGCCTGAAGAGGAGGGTGGACGGGAACCCAGGGGTTGGGGGCCGCGCGCGGAGGACGCTCGAGGCCACCGGGTCCGTGTGGCGGACGAGGACCCCAGGCCAGACCCTCACCATCTGTGTGGGGAGCGCGCTGAGGTGTTCCAGCATGGTTAGCTCCGAAGGCGGGCAGCGAGGCGAGGGCGAACGGCAGTGACGAACTGCAGCGGGCCGAATCGGACACCCAGAGTCGACTGGCGGGCCGGACAAATCCCTACGTGCGACTGCCGCGGCCCCGGAAGCGGATGTATCAGAAGGGCGGGGATAACCCTTGGCCTCGCCCTGCGCCATCGCTAGGCGACGTGCGCTTTCGCACCTGGTGGTAGCCCGGCGTCCAACCCGCGAGGGCTGTGGAGGTGGTCGAGCCGCGGCATCGCGCACCCGTGAATGGTTCGCCGTCAGGGAAACTGGGGCCAGGAGCCGAGGCTCTGCTCCGATAAATTGTTCTAAGCCACGCTTTCGCGGCCTAACGGCTGCCTACGCGCGCTGCGTCTCCATGGCGACGGCGTTTTCTCAGCGAGGACCCCGGCGGCGAGGCTGCCCCGCGGCGCCTGCTGGGCACCTCGCTCTCGCTGCTAGAGCCACACCGTCGGGCTGGGAGCTGTGGTTGTGGCCCTGGGCGGCTGCCGCGGAGGTCGTGGGCGAGCAGGTGAGCGAGCTTGGCTCGGAGTGCCGGGGACGCGGGCGGCCTTGCGGAGGGCTGGGGCCTGGGACCTGCGGCGCGGGCGCTGAGCTGGCGGGGCGGGCCGGGGCGCGGGCAGTGGCGGCGGCTCCTCCTCTTCTCAGGGAAGGTAAGGGCGGCCGTGACTAGGGGTGAGGGGGCTGGCTTGTCGGACCTGGCCTTTACCCCGTGTGACAGCCTGGCGGGACCCCCATAACGTCACCTCTCCATTCCCCCTGAGCCTAGTAGAGGGGCCGTAGTTAGAATTAGTAGATCCCCGAGCCGCATCTTTGCAAGAAAAGGCTCGGTCGCATCTCACACCGCTTGGGGAAAGCTGGGTCCCCAGCGGGGGTCCCAAGCTTGGCCCACCGCCCTGCCAGCCAGCTTATCTGGTCACAAACCCAGGTTGGGCCTCCCAATGGAGACTGGTTCCCTGAGTCCGTTACAAGGCTGGTGTTTGACTGATCTCAAAAGCTTAGGTCCTCTCGGACATGTGAGGTAGGTGGAGTGGCCATGACCTGTGAACGTTCTGGGAGAACCCAGCCCTTGGTCTCTGCCCTCTGCCATCTATAGGGTCCATCCCTTCGCGCGGGGAGGCCTGTGGCTGCTGCCTGCGTTCACTCTGCCTGCCAGTTCTCCTAGCACGTACTGTCAGCCGGTGGATCCGGCTGTGACCCAGAGACTAGGCTCTTGCCTAGAGCACTCTCTCAAAAGGAGACAGCCACGTCACTCCCCAAAATCTGCCACGGCTGGATTAGCCTCTGGGGAAATTGGAGGCCTGGTGCTCTGGGAGATGCAGCTCCGCGTGAGGGATGGGACAAGTTTGTGTTGTAGAGTGGCTGTCATTACTCATGCCTCCAGTAATATGCAGAACCTTTTGTTGCTTTTCTGGTCTCAGAGGAGCCAGTGCAGGGAAGGGCTAGAGTTTATGCTGTCTCCTTCCTTCTTCCCTTGTATTATGCATTTGAAGTGTTTCTCTGTTGTATGAGCAGGTGTATTCCAGCCCTCTTCAAGAGCATTTCGTGGGATATCAGTTGCTGTAAAGAAGTAAGTTATTTCAACTATAAAATTAAGAGAAAAAGAGAGGTGTGTGTGCTAGTCCTGGGGCTTGAACTCAGAGTCTGGGCTCTGTCCCTGAGCTTTCTTGCTCAAGGCTAGCACTCTTACCATTTGAGCCACGCCCCCACTTAGGCTTTCTGGTAGTTAATTGGAGATTAGAGTTTCACAGATTTTCTTGCCCGTGCTGCTTCTAACAATAAACCTCTGATCTCAGCTTCCTGGGTAACTAGGATTACAGGCGTGAGCCACCGGATCCTAGTTGGCAGATTTCTTCTAATAGTGAGTGCATACTCCATTGTGGAAAAAGGTTCTAAATGCAAGTGGTTTCTGCTTTGCTCACCTATTTAAGTGCTAGAATTGGGTGTAGAGTTTGGGGTGGTTCCCTCCTAACTGGAATAGCACAAATTCATGTGTCTCTCAATGCATATTCGGTCTTGTAACTGCCACTAAAAGTGAACCAGCTAGTAGTTACTGTTCCTTTGTACTAGTATGTAGCTGGGATTTATTGGAGTGAAATTGTTTTATCCAGTCTTGGTGGAAGTTGTCTAAAAACAGATGTTAGAATTTTATCTGAGTTACTCTCAATCTGCTAGCTTCTGTAGGTAAGACAAATCACAAGGAGAGAGACGTTATAGGGTATATAATGTGTATGCTTTAGAGATAAAGTTCATTGTTATACTGAATATGTATTTCTCTGGAAAGAAATGTCTTAAATTGTTCTTTAGGCATACTTTCCCTCATGTACTCAACACACCCACACCTTACACACCTTTGGCAATACTAGAACCACATCCTCAGCCCTTTTGGCTTTAGTTTTCAAATAGTATCTTGCATTTATGTCCCACCTGGCTTGGCCTAAGATCCTATTTATGATTTCTGTTTATCTAGGATGACAGGCATGATAATACCACTGTGGTATTATCATCACTGTGGGACTGGACACAACTTTTTTAATTTTTTTGAGATATCTTCTTGCCATATAGCCTATGTTGGTCTAGAACTCAGTGATCCTTCCCCTTCCATCTCCTGAGAGGTGGGATTACAGGTGTGCATCTTCATACCTGGCTAAATACAACCTTCTTACAAGATGGACAGTCAAGACAGGAAGGTCAGAAAAAAATCCGTTTTTTTTTAAAAAGCAGTTTTAAATTTTTTGAAAGTAACACTTTTACCTTCACATTACTTTGTCATAGACATCTGTGTCTTTTGTGCTCTAACTTAAGGTCTAGGCACTGTCCCTGAGATTTTTTTTTTTGCTCAAGGCTAGGGCTCTACCACTTGAGCCACAGCTCCACTATAGCTTTTGGGTGGTTAACTAGAGATAAGAGTCTCATGGAGTTTCCTGCCTGGACTAGCTTTGAACCCCAGTCCTTAAATCACAGCCTTCTGAGTATCATGAACTACCGGCACCAGGCCATGCCTAAATTGAAGTAAGAATCTTGAGTAAAAATTTATTCTGAAATTAAAAACTCCAGGCTTTTCCCCTAATAGTGTTTCTTTTGCTTTTCATCTGGTGTCATATATAAGGCTAAGGCTATGTATTTTTCCAAGGTATTTGAAAGTTATTTTCCAAGTTCTTAGGAATATCATAAAATTTTCAGACCTAAAAATTGGATTCTTGTAAACTTACTAGTTCAAACAAGTTTCTGGAAGAATAATGTACTTTGTTCCTATGTGAATAAGTGTGTAGGCATTTTGATGACCATTCTTTTGTTTCACAGGATTAATAACTAATATTTATATAAGACAGAAGAAAAAGATGTCATTCCGTAAAGGTATGTTTGTTCTATCTCTCAATGTTGTTTTTATATTAATCAAAGGCAAGGAGATGTAATTTAGGTTTTTCTCATCTGTTTCAGTAAACATCGTCATCTTGATCTTGGCTGTTGTTCTCTTCTTACTGGTTTTGCATCATAACTTCCTCAGCCTGAGCAGTCTGCTAAGGAATGAGGTTTCAGGTACAGGTACCTTATAATGCCTTATAAACTGTTGAGAAATTGGGGTTCCTTGTGTCCCATATATTAACTCACATCTCTATATTAAAAACCACCACAACAACAAAACCTTGTTTCTAGGCCTTAGAAGTGCTATAGAAGATTCAAAGGCATGGTAGGTACTTATTCTATTCTTGGATGCCTTGTACAATATAGTCACTAGCTAAGGATTTGAGCTGATAAAATATTCCTTTCCACCAAATCAAGAACATTACAGAACTTGCTCAGCAGGCTGGGCTTCAGAAGATGGGCAGGAAAGTCTGTGAGAGTCTTATCTCCAGTTAACCAGCAGAAAACCAGAAGCAGCTGTAGCTCAAAAGTGGTAGAGTACTAGCCTTGAGCACAAGCTCAAGGACAGGCCCAGGTCCTGAGTTCAAGCCCTGCATCCAACAGCAACAAAAAAAGATGGGTGGGGACATGTCTCAGTTATTTGATACGTGCTCTGTCACTACAGTGTTAAGTCTAGCTACTTTCCTTCAACTGCAACTTTTCTTTAACTTGAGCAATCACATCAGGACAGTAGTAATACTACAGAAATCATAAAGGCTTATCAGCTTAAATTATTTATTGTATAATTGTACTGCAAGTTGCTTTAGTTGTTCATACTGCCCCACCTTAATATTGAGAAATGTTTGAGGCATCTGGGTATTTGTCAAAATCTTTTTCTTTTTTGCCGGTTGTGGAGCTTGGCCTGTGGGCTGTCCCTCAGCTCTTCAGCTCAAGGCTAGTGCTCTGTCACTTGAGCAACAGCATCACATCCGGTTTTCTGGTGGTTTATTGGAGAGAAGAGTCTCACAAACTTTCCTGCCTGGGCTGGCTTTGAACTGCAGTCCTCAGATCTCAGTCTTCTGAGTAGCTAGGATTACAAGAAGCATGAGCCACCAGCACCCAGCCTGTCAAGATCATTTTGAAGCCAAGTATGGGGGAACATGCCTGTAATCTCAGCACTCAGGAGGCTGATGCAGGAGGAAGTTTCAGCCTGGGCTACACAGGGAGTCCTTGTCTGAAATAACAAAAAGCCCAAGAGCATTTTTGAATTGCTAATTACCATAGTTGAACAAAGCAAGAAAAGAACAGTAACTTTCCCTAACTTTCTTTTAGTGCTGATAGAATGCCTGTTTTGTTTTGCTTTGTTTTTGGTGCTGGGGATTAAATTGCAGGCTCTTGTTTATACTAAGCATGTGCTATACCACTGAGCTTCAGCTCCAGCTCTGATAGCTTGTTTTATAATTGTGTGTAGTGAAATATATATGTATTAAAAATGCATGCTTTTGGGCTGGGAATGTAGCTTAGTGGTAGAGTGTTTGTCTAGCATGCATGAAGCCCTGGGTGTGATTCTTCAGTACCATAGAAAAAGCCAGAAGTGGCATTGTGGCTCAAGTGGTAGAGCACTAGCCTTGAGCAAAAGCAGCTTAGGGACAGTGCCCAGGCCCTAAGGTCAAGTCCCAGACTGGCAAAAAACCAAAATTAAAAAAAAAAAAACTTACATGCTTCTGGTGGAAGTAGTAATGTGGGTACTTTGTTCACTGCTTTATCCCCCTTGCCCAAGAATGATTGATGACATACTGGTTGTATTC